AGTTTATGTAAAAAAATATATCACAACCTGTGTCGATGAAATAAATATACTAGAGGCATCTTGCCTCCAATTAAAAATAAATGATACTATTATACTTTGTACTTACCGATCACCATCAAATATGAATGCTGAGGGTATTATAAGCTCACTGAATGCACATTTAGAAACTCTAAAAACATACAAAAATATAGTTTTGACTGGGGACTTAAACATAAATATCATACCGCGGGAAAATGAGCAAGGTTACGAACATAAAAACAGAGCTGGTTATTTAGATATGTTAGCGACACACGGTATAATGATGGGCCACAATAAACCCACTAGAGAAAAAAGTTCCTTGGATCACGTCATGCTTAAGTATGACCGGTCAAAAATACTGTCCCACGTAGCAGTCCTGAACACTACTATCACGGACCACTCCATGGTTTTGTTACACCTTGGTCATCAACACTTAAAAACTAAACCTAATAAAATTAAAAGAGTTGTAAATTTTGATAAGGCAGTACTCACACTGACAGCAAAAAAAGTAAATAAATTGATCTACAACTGTGATCCTCTGGAAGTAACTCAAAAGCTAATCAACAATTTAATAGAGTCTCTGAAAGATAACACCAAAAAAGTACTTATCCCTAAAAAAGATCGAGTTATCAAACCGTGGATAACACCGGGAATTTTGAGGTGTATTAGACACAGAAATAAATTACAGAAAAAGCTTCGTTCAAATACAGAGGACGACATACTTAGAATCACCTATAGACGCTATCGAAACTTTTGCAATAATCTAATTAAAAAGCTTAAACGAGACCACGATAAGGAGGTGCTTAATAAATCTAAAATAAATACTAAAACCTTTTGGAATACGATATCAGCCATAACGCACATAAAATCTTCCAAATCTGAAAATTCAAAATTACTTAAGCTAAAAACTACACCTGAAGAATCTGTAAATTACATAAATGACTATTTTGGCAATATTGGTAAAAATCTGGCCGATATCATACCTCAAAAAGATGGCTTAAATTTGTTAAACAACAACCCTCCTCCACTACTAAATTCCTTTGTGCTATTGAATACGGATGATGATGAGGTTAAATCTGTTTTAATGAGTTTAAAATCCGACAGTGCCCCTGGATCTGACAATATCCCAACTAGTTTTCTTAAACGGGCAAAAGACGTGGTTGTCCCAGTTATTACTCACCTCTCCAACCTCTGCTTTTCTCAAGGTATTTTTCCACCTCAATTGAAGGAGGCTTTAATTACACCAGTTTACAAGAACGGAGATAGAAGCGACGTCAACAATTATAGGCCAATTTCAGTATTAACCGCTATTTCCAAAATTATTGAAAAACTTTTGAATAAGAGACTATTGAGATATCTTGAGAAATATAACATCTTGTCAAATTTCCAGTTTGGGTTTAGAGCTGGCAAATCTACTGCTGATGCCATCGAGTCACTAACTTCCATTGTAACTGAACATCTGGACAGAAAACGCAAATGTCTCGCAGTATTCTTAGATTTAAAAAAGGCTTTCGATACCGTTTCTATCCCCATCCTTGTTCAAAAACTGGAGAAGGTGGGAATCAGGGGTAAATCATTAAGCTTATTTAAGGACTATCTGTATGGCAGGATGCAAAAGGTAAAGGTGGGCGAATATGTGAGTGGTACAACTGGAGTAGCCTACGGTGTACCACAGGGGAGCATCCTGGGTCCGACGCTCTTCCTCATTTACATAAACGACTTATGTAATATGAGTATTCAAAATGCAAGCATTCTGTCATACGCGGATGATACTGCTGTGGTTTTTTCGGGAGAAAACTGGGATATTGTTAAGCATAGGACTGAACTTGGACTGACTATGATTTCCGAGTGGCTAGTGGCTAATCTGCTTACCCTAAATATAAAAAAAACAAATTACATGTGCTTCTCTATCCAAGATAGGACACAGCCGACAGCTGGTTATGATATTAAGATCCACTCTGGCTCCTGCATTCGTAGTATGTGTCAGGATTGCAGCTGTCCATCCATGACTAAGGTAAAAAATGTTAAATATCTTGGGATTATGCTCGATCAGAGACTATCTTGGTACTCTCATATTGACTTGGTTGGATCTAGAATGCGGAAGCTGATCTGGGTCTTTAAAACACTGCGATATGTAGCCACTAAGGATATGCTGAACCAGATATATGTTGCGCTGGCGCAATCAGTCTTGATTTACTGCATAAGGGTTTGGGGTGGAGCGCTGAAAACTAAATTTTTAGAGGTTGAAAGAGCTCAAAGAGCTCTGATCAAAGTTATCTATTTAAAAAAACGCGACTTCCCAACTGAGCTGCTTTACTCTATGTCAGATTTACTAACTGTTAGAAAGCTATACATTCTACATGCTGTATTACGGAAGCACACAACACTGTCGTACAATCCTAGTATCGTAGAAAAAAGAAGAAGAGACATAGTAGCATTAGTTCAGTGCTCTAACACAAGTTTTGCTCGCAACCAGTACCTCCACATCTCCTCCATCATCTATAACCATATTAACAAAATTTTAAATATTTATTCTCTAACTTACCGGGAGTGCAAGCTCAAACTGATGGCATGGCTCAAGACCTTGGATTATGATCACACTGAGAGCCTTCTTAATCTTACTCACTAGCGGATAAAAAGAGCATTTGTACACACATACTCACGTACACTCGTCACACTCACGCACATGCACACACATGCACACACACGAACACGCACACACACATACACACGCATACAGACACACACTCAACCGCTTATATAAATTGTAATCTATATATTTTTTATTTTTTTTACAATGTATTAAAAATCCAATGAAAAGACCTTACCATAAGAAATATCAATGATGCTATGGAAGAGTGGTTCCTTCTGGTACAGGTGTTTAACACTTAATAGAAGGAACCCACCCTGGTTTGATGTAAAACAAGTGTGGTACCGTAATAAACTTTTTTGATTTTTTGATTTTTTTTGAAAAGTCTGTTAAAATTAAGTAGAATACAGATGTGACACACACAATGCATATTTAGATAACACATTGTGCCTAATTAAAACAATAGACCTAATCAAACAATGATAGGGCACGTTTTTTATTATGACTAATGTACTATTTCATCACAATCATGCTGCATGAGACAAGGGTTACCAACTAAATGGCATAACCAATTAGTACTTACTAGCAAACCAGTGAACCAAATGTTCACCAAAAAAAAAAAAATGTATTTAATTAATTGAGAACTTCGGAGATTTCGTGTGGTTTCGTTTGAAATAGAAATCATGTGATTTCTCGAAAACCGGAAGTGCTACGTTACTCACATCCGGTTTGTAGTCTTATCAGACTATTCTTAACTTATAACTTAAACATTCTCTATATCTATCTCTTACGGTTTGGCCGCTGAAACAGCACCACGGACGGATGGACGGACTTGTCTATTAGATAAGAGATGTTTTTATTTATTTTTAAGCATTGAAGCAAGATATTTAAATCTAAAGAAAAGTTTTAGTAGAAAAAGAAAACACGCACTGCCTTGCAGCTTAAGGCTAGGAAAATTTCGACGCAGCCATCATGGCCGTGGTAGCATAATTGGTCAGTGCATTCGCCCGGATTGCGAAGGGTGCGGGTTCGAGTCCCGCCCGCTGCCTGGTCCGCGTGGATTTTTTTCTAGTACAACTTTAATTAGTACTTAATTTAATTTATTTACAACTAGTTGTGCCCCGCGGTGTTACCCGCGGTTTATTAGGGATATTTTCCCGCAGTAAAACGTAGACTATGTGTTAATCCAGGGTGCCAGCTAACTCCATACCAAATTTTATTAAAATCGCTCCAGCCGTTTAAATGTGAATAAGTAAAAAACATACACACTCACACACTTACAAACTTTCGCCTTTATAATATTAGTGTGAATAAAAATTTTGATATTTAAATTGCTAATACGGGATCGCTTTTATAACTAACTAATTTTATGTTACAAAACTTCTGTTTTCCTGTATCGGTGTTACATGTAGCGGATAATAAAAATATATAATACTTGTAAATTGTATGTACCATATTACTTGCAGAATCAATTATATGATTTGATATATGACAACCCCTGTGGTGCATTGGTATGTTCAAGGGTTTTCCAAGTGTTTCCTGCTCAGAGGTCGCAGTTTCAAATCCCGGTAGGAGCAAATGATTGTGATGAATACAAGCATTTATGGCTCAAAAAAATATATTAGGTCATGGTTTTAAATCCCGGTAGGAGCAATATGGTTAAAAAAAATAAACTTTTCTATGTATCGTTAAATTATTGCCGTTGTCAAACCTATATTTGCTATGTGCAAAAAGTATAACTTTAACATAGCAGTTAATGGTGTCGCATCTGCCATGATACATTAAGCCTAAAATTAAATTTGACAACAGTGTATCTTTGTCATTCGCTAAACAGAATGAAAGGAAGAGACAAATTTTAAATTTAGCTTTATGTTTAGAGAATTATGCCAGAATCGACACCAATATCTGTCATTAATCTGGCTGGTGCAAAAGTATATAAATAAATAAATATTTCCAACACTCGAACCAATTAGCCTAGCCCCAAAGTAAGCAGTGTAGTAGTGTGCGTAATAGTGTTATGGGATACTAGGGTAACGGATAGAATACATTTTCATAGAAACACATATGCTCGTATTCATCACACAAACATCTGCCCCCACCGGGATTAGAACCCTGGACCTTGAACAGCACAACTTAAACCCAGCATACAAACCTCTCCACCATGTAGGTTGTCGATAAGACATATTTTAAGCAACCTCTGTTCACCGTTATAATGCTAAAGATTAAGTAGTAGACTTTATATACGAAAAATCAGTTAGTATACTAGACATAACGAAATGTTGAAATCTTTAAAAAGTGTATTTCTATCCATTATCCAAATATCCCATAACATACACACCTTACAGTTCTTACTTGGGGGCTAGACTATTTCTCAGAAAAAACAACTACTCACCACTGCTAGACTTCACAACACTGTTCCGATAGTCTCTGTCATATCTGTCGTTCTGAGGGCTTTTGAAGTTTGTTTTGAAGAAGTTATCGGATGAAGCGACTATCTGAGTTGGGACTCCTCCAACCAAGCATTCCCTCTCTTCATCCTTACTCTTGAAGTTGCTCATGAACTTGGTAATGAAACCAGGTGAAGTCACTTCCTGGTCTTCCTTATAACTCTTAAGAACATCATGGGATTTTAGAGCATTCTTTAGCTCGGAGACTACTTTGGAATGTGACATGGCCAACTCAGACATGACTGGGAGAGGTGATGTCGGTTTCACATCTTTGGGAGTTCTGTGCTCGCTTAGAATACAAAGGTTTAGCTGACTTTTAGTTTGGTAAAGGAAGGGAGCTGAGTGTTCATCCCTGTAAAGAAGAATTCATTATAATATAAATAAATAAAAAGTAAATAAAAATATTTAGTGATTGGTTACCTACTCTTAATTTCATTGATCAACATTCTTTTAGTAATGAACACTACAGATAAAGTTTCTGGCTGCCATATTAATGAGAAAGTTATATTATCTGAATAGATGGATGGATGGTGGTGGACATTTTTTTATTTCATTGACAAAGATTCACCAACAACATATCATTTTACATTACAATTTGAAAACATGTATTTATACCATACTTAAAGATACACTTTTTCCACGTGAATACAGCATTTACATAAATACAAATAAACTACTGGACTGGACATGAAAAGAGGTGAAGAACAATGATAGATTCATTGTTCTTCACCTCTTTTCATGTCAGTAACCTTATGCTAAACAAGAGAGGGAAAGAAAAGCAAAGAGAAACCACTTAAGACATAGGAGGGTGACATACAGTAAAACCCATTTAAGACGATTTCACAAGGACTCAACCAAAAACGCTACTTAAGCGGGAAAGCGTATTATGCGGGATTGGGGGTAGGGAAATTTCGAATGTAGGTATTGAGGTATAAAATGTACAATATTTAAGAATTATGTATGCTATAAAAAATGTGTATTATTATTTATTATTACGTTATTTAAATTAATCACTTATTTTAGTTTTGACTCATTTTCTTCTTGATCATTATCACTTTGGGCCTGTTCTTGTGTGTTATTCACATTTTCATTGAATTTTATGCTGCTTCAAGAGGTAATATGTGTGGTACGTGTTGGCGTTTTGGGCGTATTAAACGGAATGAAAACATGTCTCAAGTTGCAGGGACTTATGCAAAAGGGCGTATTATGTGAGAAATCGTATTAGACGTGATTATACTAAACCAGTTCTACTGTGGTTAAGTTGGCAGGGAAAACTTGGACAAGGCTGGCTAGGGAGAGGTAAAATTGAAAAAAGTTGGAGGAGACCTTTGTCAAAAGGAACACAGAGTTAGAGGAGTAATAAAACAAACACAATTCCTTTATTATACACGGTATTTCAAAAATACCCCTAAACCGAAAAGGGCATTAGAAGGTCCCATATAAACAAATGTTAATTCTATGAATAAAAGCTATAAATAAATATATTGTCTACACTTACTTGTATGAAGTGTGTTCATCTTGTATGATCCTCTGGCCGTGTTCTCTCCCAAAAAAGGACATGAGATCATCTTTCCTTACGGGCGGATCGTTGAAGTCAAACTCTAAAGTGTCCAGAAGAGCATACTTGAGAGCTATCTCAGGTTTTATTATTGATTCATTTATGATTTCCATCTGTAAAATTACATTTGTTAATTTCAGTACCCTTTGAATTTGGTTATGTCTCACACAACTGTGATTTAATTGAAACCATTTTGTTTTTAAAATCAATTCATTAATAATTAATTAGAAGCTAACATTGAAATATGTTTGAATTTACAATGTATTTACTGTTTATACAATAAGAATAAAGTAAACGAAATCTAGTTATATTTTTATGCATTTGACTGCTAGATGTTTAAATGTAAAGAAAATTTTACTAGAAATAAGTCCTATCTGCTGCCTGGTGCACGTGGAATTTTTTCTAGTAAATTTTTCTTTAATTTTAATGAAATCTAAATATAATATAATAAACTTTTTATGATGAAGTTATCTAGTAATAGATAAAATTCGTTTTTCCAAGCAAATAAATATATGAATAAAAGAAAAGGAAAAGGTACCTAACCTTTTCCTTTTCAGTAAGAGTTTCCCAAATATTTTCGTATGCATTCTTTGCTTCTGTGATGTCTTCGTGAATTTTTGTAGCAAGGGGGTTCATCGTTCGAAAATATTCGTCTGCCACGGCGCTCAACGCCATTTTAACACTTCCTCGGCTTTATCTTATTTCAAAAGATATTAACACGAACTATTAAAAAAGTTTAACTTATTGTTCATTGAAATTCATTATTTACAATTAAACACTTTGACAACAGTGTAAGAAAATGAACACATGAATAATTATTCACACACACACAACCACAGCAAACACACCCACACAATTACTCTGTGTAACACGGAAACGGATGCAGTAGTGAAGTATGGCAGTCTTCCACCCGGGCCATGGCCCATTTTGGCCAAAGGGTAAATACGCCCCTGTTTCCAAATAGAAACATTATGGTCATGAAGCATTTGATTTGTTTAAGCCCTAAGCATTGAACGTCTCCGAGCCCTTATGTCCAGGGCTTCGTTCAAAATCTACGCTCTCAGTGTAACAAGTGTCACAGTTGATATAAGCCTCACACATTTTTTGTCAAACACTGAAGAAATCATCATCATCAAAGTGAGACTCAGGGAGCCGGTGAAAGCAGTTCCGATCCAGGGTTGCCAGGTCTCCCCATTTTACAGGATTTATCTACATTAATCTACTGTTGTACGCAATCTACAGACAATCAACAGTCTCTCTTTCTCATTCTGCACAGAGCATGACAAGGATAGACTGTTGTCAAATTTAATTTTAGAAGGCTTGAGAATCATGTCAAATACGGGGCCACAAAACTGTGTTCATTCAGTGAGCCCGATTCGGACTCCTAAGTCCAAAGCCCACTTAAAAAAGTATTCTTCGGTCCATTCCGTCTCGCTCAGTTGCTCGGTCAATCAAGTCAAGTAAGTTAGTCAGTCATCAAAGGTGACTTAGGTTAGGTGTTATCTTAGGTAGTTTTCCAATTACAGCACTAGAACGCATTATGCGGTATAATGCTTACCGTTGAATGTTTCAGCTACAGCAACGCTTCGCACAATCGAGCACTCTCAAAAGTAATGTTTTCGTGTGATGCGTGCAATCTTCCAACTCAGGGACAGAAAATTAACAAGTGTTTTTTCTTTAAGTTGGCATTGATTGAAATGTTTTATCTTAGAGCATATACCACTCATACGCATTACACGTGGTATATGCTCTAAGTGTTTTATTTATATATTGATGTCGATTCTGGCGTGATTCTCTAAACTTGAAACTAAACTTTACATCCGTCTCTCCTTTTCATTCTGTATAGAGAATAACAAGAATAGACTGTTGTCTTAAGTTTAGATATATAGAATCATGGCAGAATCGACACCAATATCGTTAGTAATATTATTTCTTGTTAAAAATGTTTTAAAGCTTTCTTTTTATTATATTTTTTTTAAATAATCAAAGTTAATTCAAACTATATTGAAAAAAAAATATAAGTATGGATGAAGGTACAAACATTGACTTTTTTTTTCAACACTGAACTTAGCGCACTCTGCTGGTGCAATTGAAAACTAATTCACGTTCCAAATAAGCATCAGCATAATTCGGCATTGTTCGCCATTGAGTCGCATTATGCTCTGTAATTGGAAAATTACCTTAAAGTGCAAATGGAATCGACAGTATCTATCATCTTTGCTTTGCTAAGTCGCAATTTGGTAATTTGTCCTTTAAATTGTTTGCACCATGGTAAAATAATGGCATTATTAAAACAAAGTTATGTAAGTAGATTAGGCAACACTGTTTCTGGTAACACTGGATGGACTCGCAGTTTGCAGTTGTAAACATGGAGGAGTTATCTAATGAAAATATATAGTAGTATGTGGTTGAAATATTTACTTTATTTTTGAAATAAATATATTTTTACTGCTCTTTGCCTTAATAATATTATAAAAACAATTTCTAATAATTTTTAAGAAAGCATTTACTGTCAAAAATATGTTATAAGCAAAATATAGTAGTTTCGTCGACTATATATTTTTTTAGAAATATAGAATTTGATCCCCTGATATAGTAGGATACTATATTTTATAGTATTGTTGGTAATCCTACCTCCAGTCCGAGCGGCGCTGGTGAATGCAGAATCTGGAACAAGAATGACCTAAACATTCTTGAGAATGGGTACGGCCAGAGTGCACTCAGATTCAGATTCAGATTCCGAAAACAAGCGGGAGAAATAAACAGTGTAGTCGAAGGGTACGGCCAGAGTGCACTCCTGATTCAGATTCAGATTCAGACTTAGAAAACAAAGCGCGAGAAAAGCAGGCAACCTGCTTAGACTACACTGTTTATTTCTCGCGCTTGTTTTCGGAATCTGAATAAGGCATTTGCTGCTGGACGATCATTGAACGAAATGCAATTTTCTAAAAAAACTAGCGTACGGTCCAACAGGCCAGAAATATAAAAAATGTATCTGTGATTGATCGACTTGTTCTCTTACAAGTCTGTGGATTGATCTCCGTAATCTGTGATTGGGTGAACGCGAAATGTCAAAATGGCTTTCTTCGACCCTTGTTTATAAAATGTTTTCCGCGAAATAAATGTGTTTCAAAAGCAGAACGTGTGTGACGAATGATGAACTCCAATATGTTGCACAATACGGGTCCGTACGGGTCAAACGAATCATCTGTAAACGTCGGAGCACCCGAAATATCGGAATTGGCTACACCGATGAATATTGCCCAAAACTTTAATAACATAGTGAAAATGTCGCAACAAACAGCCCATTCACCTTCAGGGCACTTCAACTTTCATAATTACCCAGGTTTCGCCAGTTCATCTTTAAGCAGTAACGCTCAATTCAACATGTTTCCGAGCAACCACTTCCAATCCAGTTCTGCGACACCAACTACGAGTTTCTTACACTCGCTAAGACAAAACGGATCTGTGCCGGATCATTTCCATTTTAACAGAGATATTGATCACGAAGTGATGGATTTTTCAAGTTTCGCACACAAAATCGGCCGCTTTGGCGCTTCTACAGACAACATTAAAATGCAGCATTCTCCATTGAATGTGCCTCAAATAGCTGATAAAAACAACACGAATCAAAAGCCAGTGGACAGCTACCCAAATCATTACAATAAAATATGTAAAAACGATAACTTGTTTGCTCCTTGGAAGAATCTAAACCACAAGTATTCTTATGAGCAGTCGTCAGAAAAAAAGGATGTACTGCAACCAAGTAATACAGAAAACATTTTAAGGAGAGAATCATCTGGCTCTGAAAACTTTGAAACTAATGACAATTGGGATAAAAAAGAATCACAATCCGACAACGTTGTAAACACTGAAGATACAAAAGGATTGTTGTCGCAGGATAGCGATAATAGTAATGCATCTCACAAAGGAGAGACACCCAAAGTATTAGAAACAAACGATAATTCAAACGACAGAACGACAGAAGGTGATAACGACAGTGACTCAGATGACTCAAAACCCTTAAATCTCTGTCATTACATTAAACAAGAACCAATAGAACAAGAAGAAGTTGAGGTTGATGCTGGCACTATTGTGGTTAAAATTGAACCAATATCAAGCTGGACTGATACAGAACACATGCAACCGTTCCTAAAAGATACAAATGGTGTTGGAAGGGAAGATTCCAGTCTTGATAATTTAGTAGATTGTACAAACAGTATTGCAAAAGCTAAAGAAATTATTAAAAATGGTATGTGGAAGTTATTTTTAAAATGTAAATGTAAATTCGATACACTTATACATATTATTAGTTATACCCAGGGCTGGATTTAGAGGTGCGTGGGCTAGACCTTACAGGGGCTTATTTTAAAATCTGACACCTGGGGCACTTACGATTTGCAAGGACTAATATATCTTCATACTTGTGTTTCATTTGTCACTTTGTTTAAAAATGTATATGATGTAAAATACAAGACTGTGAATCGGAACTAGTAAGGCACATATGTCAATATTAATTTAATTTGTTTTTTTTTTTATTTTCAGGCTTACAAACAGATATGGGTTTCGAATGCCCAGACTGTTGTCTAATATTTAGGCATCCCAAAAGATTTCTTATTCATACAAAGTGGCATGCTTTCGGACTTACCAATGACAGAAGGATTGAAGAGGCCAAAGAGAAAATTGCATGGTTAGACCTTCATTATTTCTTATCCATTTACATTTTGTATTTACATTTGGATATGTCTATTGCAAGTTTAAATTTTAAGTGTTTTGGAAACCACCTAACCTTGTTTCTTGCATGATTCTCTAAATATGAAACTAAATTTGTCAATATTATAAGAAATTCTATAGGGAATCATAGTTCATGTTAAAATTAGACCCACTGCCTCAATATTATTTGAATGATTTCTAGTTTGTTTAAGGCCATGTTTTTTATATTGTAGATCACAGTTTATTCAATCTAGTTTTCTGTATATACTGGACATTGACATAGGACTGTTGGCTGCGTTTGAAATGCAAGATGCAATTGACATAACTGCATGACAAAGTCCAACAGAAATTTATATTTAACCGGCTGTGCCCCGCGGCAGCTGTGGTTTATTAGGGATATTTTCCCGCAGTAAAACGTAGCCTATGTGTTAATCCAGGGGGTCAGCTAATTCCATACCAAATTTTATTAAAATTGCTCCAGCCGTTTAGACGTGAACAACTAACAAACATATACATTCACTCACAAACTTTTGCCTTTATAATAATAGTGTGATTACATAATAATGCACATGATATTTCTCTCCAACCCAATGCCTTTCATGAAATTTCGTATATTTCTCATTCTTTTGCAATTTTATGTAGTCTTATCAAGTGCTTGAAAGGTGCAAAGAAAGGTGTATTAAAAGTTCGACGTGTCTGTCTGTGTGTGTGTGTGTGTATGGCATCTTAACTTCTAAACGAATGCACCGATTTGGATGCGGTTTTTTTAAATTGAAAGCTGACATGATCGAAATTGTTCTTATTTAAAATTTATGAAGATTGTTCAGGGTTTAAGGAAATGGGATTTAGATAATTTTCACTCGCCTATATTGATCTTTTTATGTATAAATGTAGCTTAAACTGGAATTTAAGATTTTGTCTTCTTTATTTTGTAGCCGTCAGCAGAAGAAAGAGATGAAAAACATGATAAAGAAGGAAGCAGCAGAACTATCAAAGAAAGACGAACCGCAAGTGTTTAGCTGTAAGAATTGCGACAAAGCATATAATACTAAGAGTAAATTGAGGAACCATAGGCACAAGTTAGTAAGATTATTTATTTAGTTTATGGGAATACAAACGTAATAAAAATTTGTACTTAGAAAACCCCTTGGTGTGAGTGTACACCCGTTTTCAAAGGCTGCTGCTGTTTGTCAGTGCTCAAGGGCGCAACAAGTCCTGCGTTAAAATCCCAGTGAAATTATGAAATGAAACTATACTTTACTCAAATTGACTTAGTAAAAGATCTTTTGAATCGTCCAATATTTTTTTTGGAATTGGAGAGGAGCTCGATGGCGCAGGTGGTTAGCGCGTTCGGCTGCGATTGTTGAAGTTAAGCAACTTTCGCAGTGTTCGATCATTGGATGGGTGATCAAAAATTTTCTATCTCGAGTTCCTGGCTGCATCTGCAGTCGTTAGCACCCGCCAATCGGCACTGGGCCCGCGTGGTGGGTCATGGCCCAACCTCCCTATTCCATCCATAGGGAAGGCCTGTGCCCCAGTTGTGGGGACATTAAATTCATCATCATTAGCCTATAATGATGATGAATTTATATACATAATAATATTTATATTACAGATACCATTCTAGTCGCGAACACCAATGCAAAGTTTGTCAGACAAAAGTGCTCGGTTGGTTTGGTCTACAGACACACATGGCTACTCACAACAAGGATCTGTTCGAATGCGACATTTGCTCGAAAGCTTATAAGCACGCTCATTCACTCTCAAAACACAGGGATTCGCATTTAGTAAGTTAATTTATTTGGAATTGATAAATAAGCTGAACTGCTAACTAAATGACTATCCCAAATAATTGTTGAACATGTTATTCATTATATGGTATTAAAATTATCATTGTTAATAAATATAAAAACAACTAGCGGCCCGCCCTCGCTTCGCTTCGGTGTAGAGCTGAAGTGTAGACTACAGTTTTTGTTCTCAGGCTTGTATTATACACAATGACATTCATCTATGATTCTTCTTATACTTGCATGCAAAGTCTCAGCCCGATCGGTTTAAAATTGACAAAGTTTCATACAAACTTTCATTCCCTATTTTATCCACTTGGGGGGTAGAATTGATCAAAATCCTTTCTTAGCGGATGTCTACGTCATAACATCTACCAGCATGCCAAATTTCAGCCCGATCCGTCCTGTGGTTTGGGCTGTGCGTTGCTAGATCACTATGTCAGTCAGTCAGTCACCTTTGAGTTTTATATATATAGATAATAAATATAAAAACAATAGCTAACCTAAGGACTCAATTATATTTATAACACATTCCTAAAGTTCTTATGTATTCAATTGTGACGCCTCTCGACAGACAAATCATTTTCATCATCAATCGTTACGCGTGGAGTTAGTTAGAAATAAAGGTTCACTGCTCGTTCCCCGTAGGTGATAGCGTGATAATATGTAGCCTATATGTGGACCCGACATCTTAATAATATTCGTACCAAAGGACAATGGGCAAAACACACCCAGCTCCGCCAACAATGTAATTAGTATGAATCGATAGATCTATGAAAAACTAGACTTTTTTATTATGACTCCGAAAATAAATATCCTGGGAGTCAGGGAACTATGTGTACCCTTAGTACGAACCAATATCGAATTCGTCATTGTCCAATGTGTACTGATTTTTAGTTCTCGTTACGTCCGTTGTGGCGCTGATGTTCAAGTTTTCATACGAAATATGACAAATACATTTCGGACTCGCAAACAATTCGAATTCGATTATGGTGCCAATTCTGGCGTGTTTCTCTAAACTTAAAACTAATTTTAATATCAGTCTCTCCTTTTCATTCTGTATAGAGAATGACAGGGATATACTGTTGTCAAATTTAAGTTTAGGTTTAGAGAATCATGCTAGAATCGACACCATTGGTTCGTGCTAAGTGTACGGAGCTGTCAAAGTTCGTGTTTGAGTCTCTGTAAACAACCATTAGTATATTATACGTATTAACGGGATTGTTACCATATACCTTGTCTTTTATGAGTCTCCGATATTTCCGCAAAAATCAAAAAAGTGTCGTTCCGCGATCTGATACTGTGAGTATTGTGTGTCGGGAACAAGTGCGAGTGAATAGTGAGAATGTGACCAGCGGTAGGGGTATCGAGCGCAGTAAAAGACGACGTCAGAGGGTAGACTGATATGTCTGCCAATAACATCTACCCGCAATTCTTCAGTTACTCCATGATCATGGCGCTTGCAAGTGCTGAAATATCGGAGACTCATAAAAAATAAGGTACATGGTAACAATCCCGTAAATAGCTATAATGTTAGTGACCATGACAGTTTAAAACAAAAATGGGTGCGTGTACTTATGTAGGCGCGTGAGAAGTTATCCTTCTTTCGCATCGTTTAAAATTAGTTTTTAATTGCATGCAAATAATTAATTACAATAAATTAATAAAAAGTCTGGAAAAGGACACAGTCAATAAAGTTCAGTTTTAATTTGAAAAAATAAATAAATAATCATAATATTCAATTAAAATCGCTACTGAATATAATTTATTAGAACATATGTGATTTGCACTTGTATGAAACTCAATGTGGATAAATATTATAAATATGAATACCTATAACTGTTACTTTATTACAAAAAATAAAGATGTGGTTTTTGGTTCTACTACACCAATGGTCAAGAGATGGCGCTGTAGTCTCCTGAATCGCGCTTTGGTTCCGTTGTTCCAGATTAATAAATACTTTTGATAGGCCTTCACAATGCAGTCGTTAGCACCCACTAAATAGATATTCTATTTCTATTTTGTTGGTAGATTTTCTTAATGTGCGGTAAACACAAAATTTTGTGTTACAGTGATGCGCGCGCATCTTAAAATTTCACTCTCATCATTTTTTCATAACGCGCCTAAAGAAGTATAACTTCAATAAACCTTAGTATATTTTGATAATTGCTTAATTTTTGTTTTACAGGAAAAGACGCACCCTTGCTCCGAGTGCCCTAAAAAGTTTGGATCTCAGAAGTTACTCAAGATTCATATGAAAAGTCATGAACGGGCTCAGAGGGGACGAACGTTTCGGTGTTCCTACTGCGCTAAGGGGTTTTACGAAGCTTATACATTGCAGGTTAGTCAACAATAAATAAAAAAAATAAAAAATGTGTGCGTGTATTAGTGTACACACGTAAGAAGTGAAACTTCTTTATGGCCTTATTTTTCGAAAAATGATGTACATGCAACTTTCCAGAAATTGGTTTAGATAAAGATAAAGTTTAAACAAAAGGATTTTATTATCATAGACATGAATACAAACAAGATTTCATTTCATTTCATTTATATGTTCATCGTCGTTGTTATTACCAAAAAAAAGATGGCGCGTAACCAAAAAATGTGACGCGTAACCGAAAAATGTGACGGTAAATTTTTTTCCAACGCCGATAAAGAAGTTTCACTTCAATAAATGCAAGCGCCATTATCACGGAGTAACTGAAGTAATTGCGGGTAGGCTGTTATTGGGAGATATATCGTTCTACCCTCCGACGAAGTCTTTTATTGCGTTCCATACCCGTACCACTGTTCACATTCTCACTATTCACTCGAAACTGTTCTCGACACACAACTTACAGTATCGGATGGCGTCACGACATTTTTTTTAATAAAATAAATCAAAATTTGCTTAGTCTTTTGTCATAATTTAAATAAAACGAAAATCACCCTAAATACGCTTTACGAAGGTCGGTAATAGTATTTTTATTTTAATTTTCGGTATACGTAAGGGGCCATTCTACGTCACACGTTAAGGGGGCGAGAGGGGGTCGACGAAGAGTGGGAGGGGTCCTAAGTTTCGTGACGTCACAATTCAAAATCTAATACCTACTTTTGAACTATTATCAAAAACTAGCAAACCTGTGAACCAGATGTTCACCAAAAAAAAAAAAAAATATTTAATTAATTGAGAACTTCGGAGATTTGTGTGGTTTCGTTTGAAATAGAAATCACGTGATTTCTCGAAAACCGGAAGTGCTACGTTACTCACATCCGGTTTGTAGTCTTATCAGACTATTCTTAACTTATAACTTAAACATTCTCTATATCTATCTCTTACGGTTTGGCCGCTGAAACAGCACCACGGACGGACGGACGGACGGACGGACTTGTCTAATAGATAAGAGATCTTGAAAATAAATATTTCCAACACACACCAGTTAGCTTAGCCCCAAAATAAGCACTATAAGGCTTGTGTTATAGGATACTAGGGTAACGGATAGAATATATATCATAAAATAAATAAAATAATAAACAAATAAAATAAAATAATTGGGCCGTGACCCACCACGCGGGTCTAGTGCGGATTGGCGGGTGCTAACGACTGTAGATGCAGCCGGGACCAACGGCTTAACGTGCCTTCCGTAGCACGGAGGAACTCGAGATAGATGTTTTTGGTCACCCATCCAATGACCGACCACTGCGAAAGTTGCTTAACTTCGACCATCGCAGCTGAACGCGCTAACCATCGAGCTCCTGAAGAATACAGAATAGAATACATTAGTGTACATATAAAAATAAGAAATATTAAACATCCATAACTGGAGTACAAATGCTCGTATTCATCACACAAACATCTGCTCCCACCGGGATTTGACACCGGGACCTCTCGAGTCGGCGACACCATGAAACCCGGCGTACATATGTAAGATCGGCGTACGGCGTAAATATGTAGATCTGATTGATTGATGATTTTCGGAACTTTTTTCGAAACCGCTGTACCTATCAATAAAAATTTCTAAATTAAAAATATCAAAATATGTGACGTCACACTAGGGGGAGGGGGGGCTCACAAATGTTTCCAACTGTGAAAAATCACGTATTCTCTAAACCTAAACTTAAATTTGACTACAGTGTGTCTTTGTCATTGTTTATACATATAAAATGTAGATATCGATGTTAAATTTAGTTTTAAGTTTAGATAATCATGGACAGAATTGACACCATAGTCTAACTAATTCAAACGGTAGTTATCTCAAAGACACTTCACGATAGTCGATTTTTGGTGGTATCATTACTTATTTCAATCATTGTTTTTTCCTATTATCTTAATCTAATTCAAACAATAATAATCATAATGATAATCAAAATCATTTATTCAGTTTAGGCTGTTACAAGCACATATGAATGTCTAGAAGCTACGCGATCGGTTCGTAAATCTACGGCGGGAGACCTTGTACTGAGAAGAACCGGCAAGAAACTCAGCAAGGGCTGTTTTTTTCTCCCTGTTTTATTATTTACAGAGTCGTCATTTCAGAGATGATTCATGAAGTCACCTTTCATTTCATAATGTGAAATTATACATTAATTGTTCACCTGCATTTTGATTGCTGTGTCACACAGTACAAATACAAATAGAATTATACAACCTCCAATAGACGACCTCCGTGGCCGAGTGGTTTGTACGCCGGGTTTCATGGTGTCGCCGACTCGAGAGGTCCCAGGTTCGAATCCTGGTGGGGGCAGATGTTTGTGTGAGGTATACGAGCATTTGCACTCTAGTCATGGATGTTTAATATGTATTCTAAATAAATATAAGTATATCCATCTTGGTTATTTAATGATATTTCCCGAAAATAAAACTGTAGTCCAGTGACCAAGCTAACGTTTAATTTGAATCTTCTTATTACTTTACAAAATCAGTTATGATTGCCAAGGTACAAACGGATTGCTTTGTGAAGCGCGGAGAGTTCTGTGCTAACGTCCGTTCACTATCGCAGCTCACGTCTGAATGCCGAATGCTGAATGCCCCTTCCAATGACGCATAGCCCCTTAAATACTACCCTTAGACCACTCCCAAATGATGACAGCTGTCACTGTCATTACTTGACGTTTCACAAGGCAATGGTACTCTTGACTGATGACATTTGTTGTCGGTTTAACGTTTCGAAGGAGCGAGTGAGACGCCATCCGCCGACATATTTATTTATTTTATAATCATCTTAACGCCCTCTACTAAAGTCTGTTTTGCTATCTTATATATTTTATTCCTGTTGTATTTAGTACCACGAACGCACGCATAGGAACGAGCGGCCGTTCAAATGCGAGATCTGCGACACCAGCTACGGCACCAACTCCAGTCTCAAGCGACACTTGAAAGTGGTAAGTGAAGTCACAATGTAGCTAATTAATGGATGGTATTTCTTTTCAGAATTAGAATTTATTTATTTGCATTAGAATAGGGGTACAGTGGAGATGTTACAAATATAAAGTTCGGCCCATTCTGTCATTTACAATAGCAAGCAAATATTTAACATTGCATTAATTACATTCATATTATTAATAATCATTAAGCCATCAATTTCACATACCAATAATAAATTCTTAAAATACTACAAAAAGCGAATCACATTATATTGTATGCTTTCCAATTACAGAGCATAATGCGACTCAGTGCCGCACAATGCCCAATTATGCTGATGCGTAATTGGAACGTGAATTAGTTTTCAAATGCACCAGCAGAGTGCGCTAAGTTCAGTGTTGAAAAAAAAAGTCAATGTTTGTACCTTCATCCATACTTATATTTATTTTTTAACAGTTTGAATTAACTTTGATTATTTAAAAAAAACTATTAAATGAAACGAAAGCTTTAATAATTTTTCAACAATAAATAATATTACTAACGATAACATATAAATAAAACATTTCGATCAATGCCAACTTAAAGAAAAAACACTTGTTAATTTTCTGTCTCTTAGTTGGTACCATTGCACGCATCACACGAAAGCATCACTTTTGAGAGTGCTCAATTGTGCGAAGCGTTGCTGTAGTTGGAACACTCAACGTTAAGCATTATGCCGCATAATGCGCTATAATGCTGTAATTGGAAAGCAACCATTATCGTCAGCAAAATTACAACTGTCAGTTTAGTCTTAATTTATGTCAATCTAAATTATTGAAAAGCTAACAAAATAATGTCAATTATTATAGAATAAAATGCCTATCAAATTTCAATAGGATAATATGTCAATCAAAATACAATCGGACTCGCGCACCGGGGGTTCCGTACAAACTCAATTTAATACCTCTAAGCCTAAGCGTTCATGAGAAAAGAGGTAGTAACTTTAAAATTCTCAAAAATATTTTTTATTATATGATGTAACTAAAAATTTACGGTTTTCGCAATTTTTCCTTTATCTGTACTATAAGACGTTGGTTCGTACCAAATTCCAAGATTCTACGTTCACGGGAAGTACCCTGTAGGTTTTGATTCCCGTGCGAGTTTCGAAAATTTTTGGCATAAACGGCTGTATCTTTTGATTGCTTTGGCTTAGAAGTTTGATTTTTTCACAGCTCCAAGGGACAGTAGACCTGAGTATTAGATATGAATTTCAGTTTGATATATATATATTAATTTCTCCACGCATTCCTGAGAAAACGGTCTTGACAGACGGACAACAAAGTCCTATAAGGGTTCTGTTTTTTTCCTTTTCGTGGTACGGAACCCTAATAATAATAGGTCCACCCCCTCCCCCATTGCTTTGGAATATTAATTAAATAATAAACAAGTACCAATTATTAGAGATGTTTTGGTAGTAATACACTTTGGTTGTAATCATTCATCTTAACATTTTACAACTCTTTACTTATAATACAAAGGAACACAAAAAAGTAATGAATAACAACGATACGCAGAAATCAGCCATCGCGGAACATTTGATTGATTCTGGTCCTAACCATATATTTTATTTTATTATCCTTGATATATTTTATCGCTAGTAATAAATGAATCATGGTTGCAGTCTCACAGCGACGCTAAGCCATTCAAATGTGGCACATGTCACCGCTGTTTCTCCACGGCCCTCATACGGGATCGTCACGCGGCGAGAGCTCACGGAACTCCCGGGGAATTGCATTATGCGTGTACGCAGTGTACAAGCAGGTTAGTGGGTATTATTTTTTCGATATAAGAATAAGTAAGAAAATTTTAGATTTAAATTAAAACGTGTAAGGACATTTTTACCTTTAGGTGACAGCGGGTAAGAACATTTTACTGTTCGCTTACAACGGGTAAGAACTAGAGATGGGCCGACTATAGTATTTGCCGACTAATCGATTTTCGAATTGCCGACTATTCTGCAATGCCGATCATTCTAATACCTATCTTAGGAAGGTGTTCGGAATATTTCGTCACTACTGGGCTTGCTCACGCACGACACGAGTCTCTCAAATCGAGCGGAAATATTCATGTTCCAACATCACAATTTGCGTCTAAGGAAAAAAAATACTTAAGGACTTCTTTAAGACTCGCTAGCACTTAAGATTTACTCAGTTAATACGTACTTGTTTCTTAGGTTCTCACGCACATCACTCGTAATAAAACCAGTTTATTACGGGTTAATGCACGAAAACTTTATTTATTTATTGACGTTTCGTATTAAATTTTTAAATAAAATTTGATTCTGACGACGTAGCCTGTAAAGGCTACGAAACGTCAATAAATAAATAAAGTTTTCGTGCATTAACCCGTAATAAACTGGTTTTATTTAATACTTACTTACTTCCCATTGCTATTTTGTTATGTACGATATTCGTGGTGTTATCTGAATTGCTGACAAATTCTTAAGTTCCTAATTCTTATTATGTTACCTTATTTTTTAATAATTTAAGACTGTAGGTAACTTTAAATACATACTCTAGGTACTGTTTAAATATTCAAAACAAGCATAAGTTTTGAGTTTTAATTCATTGTTATGTGCTGATTATAATCGGCATGTTTTGCCAAATAGTCTCTTAACTAATCGCCGACTGTAAACGATGCCGAATAGTCGTCTTCCCCGACTAGTCGGCGGCTAGTCGGCCCATCTCTAGTAAGAACAATTTACCTTTAGATGAAAGCGGGTAAGAACATTTTACTGTTCGCTTACAACAGGTAAGAACATTTTACCTTTAGGTGACAGCAGCATCTCACCTCACAAACACTGAGGAACGTTTAACGAACTCGTGACAACGTGACATGACGTCACACTCTTACGTGCGTGCAGCCGATGTTCATCGATTTATAAGACGTTACCACGTCAATAATTATTAAAAACCTTCATCGTTCAGGCAGTCACAAACTACTTTTAATATAGTAATAAAAGGTATCATTGTTTTATTGTATAAGATGAGCGAGGAGCTCGCAAGGCGCTAGTGGTTAGGTGCGATCGTTGAAGTTAAGCGACTTTCGCAGTGAAAGGTCATTGGATGGGTGACCAAAAATTTGCTATCTCTCGCTCCTTCGTGCTTCGGAAGGCGCGTTGAGCAGTTGGTCCCGGCTGCATCTGCAGTCGTTAGCACCCGCCAATACCGCACTGGGCCCGCGTGGTGGGTCACGGCCCAATCTCTCTATTCCATACATAGGGGAGGCCTGTGTCCCAGCAGTGGGCATTAATAGGCTGCTGATGATGATAAGATAAACAGTTTATTAACAATTCACGATTTTCTTCAATAAAATAAGTTGCAATGTTCCATATCTTGTAATGGGATTTTATTCAAAATTGCTTTGTATTAAAATTAATGTTAATATCAAAATTCCATAAGATTTAAATGCTAGTTTAGTGTATATTGCATGTCGTAATCGCCTTAAAAAGTTCCACTAAAAAGTGTCTTACGATAAATGCTTAAATAAGAAATGCCCAGTGTAACATATTTTTTTTCTAAATGGCTTCGCACGGCATGTGCATTTAGCCAATGTCAAGTGTTAAATGTAGGTATACAAATACTATAGCACTCGTGGTCAAAGTAATAAGTCAAGTCAAAGTAAGTGGCAGTCAAGTCAATCCCCCTTTCCCCATGTTTCAGTAAAAGTGTGGGGATTTACTGGAACCTCCCCGTGGACTTCTTGAGGGAACGTCGAAAGACACTTTCCGCTATTTTGTTTCACTTGCCAACACTTGTGCATGTTCCCGAACACTTAGTGGTTAATAATCCACCATTATTAGACACTTACATCCGCCACAACACAATTTTAACAAGAAAAACAAAACTGCTAAAGTGACGCTTGCCGAACCCGCCAAAAAGTCCAAGTGTAACTTTGTTGGCGATCAAATAAATAAATGAATCTTCTTAAATTCCCACGATGGCTAACAGTTTCCTTTCTCAATCCAGGTATATGCGACTGAAAGATTTGCAAAGGCACATGTACAGGATACATCCAAAAGGTAAGAAGAGGAGAAAAGACAGCGACAGTGAATAAGACCCTTTATATCCAAACACTAAAGGCACATTTTTGAGTGTTGCAATCACAGGACAAGAATTTAAGCATTAGAATTTAAATTCCACTCATAAAGGTGACTCATATAGTTATCTTATTTTTACATATAGACCAAACAAAACATATGTATGTTGCTATGAACAGCGTGCGTCGTACTCCTACAAAACAGTGTTGTTGAACATATAATATATAGTCCCGAGTACGAATCCCGGGGGGAATAAAATCCTATTTTTTTAAGCATGTAACTGCTCGATGTTTAAATCTAAAGAAAATATTATTAGTAAAAAAATCCACGAGGACCAGGCAGCAGACGGGACTCGAACTCGCTATCCGAGCGAATGCCCTGCCACTTAAGAAAGGCTAGAAAGAATTCGACACGGCCATCAGGGCTGCGGTTGCATAATGGTCAGTGCATTCGCCCGGAAAGCGAAGGGTGCGGGTTAGAGTCCCGTTTGCTGCCTGGTCCGCGTGAATTTTTTTCTAGTACTATTTTCTTAAGAGGAAAAGTAAAGATTTTGACTGTGTGTGCGGACAACAACGTCGCCACAAACACGAGACTTTATACTCCAGTCATGGATGTGTAATATGTATGTCTATATAAATATACTTATATATAATATGCAAATTTATTCTCACCTTTACATTTTGGTCCTTCGAGCAGACGATCTTCGCGGCCGAGTGGTTTGTACGCCAGGTTTCATGGTGTCGCCGACTCGAGAGGTCCCGGGTTTGAATCCCGGTGGGGGCAGATGTTTGCGTGATGAATACGAGCATTTGTACTCCAGTCATGGATGTTTTATAAATATACCCTAGTATCCCATAACAGAAGCTTATAGCGCTTACTCTGGGCTAATTGGTGCGGGTAATTATATTTATCAACCATATCAAATAAAAATATTCATTCAATTCATGTTGATGTTAACGTGGGAATATGAATATATATAAATATATATATGTAATAGTTAAATGAATTCGTATAGATAAATGTAACCGACTGATAAAATTGACGTAATGAATAATTTTTATCTCAGACCGCGAATAGTTGCAATAAATCAACTTGTGAAAAATATTTAGATATTGTATTTGAATAAAATGTTAACAGATATTTTCAATCATTAAAATTATCTGATATTTTTATTCAACTATTACCTTTTAACTAATTTGTTTTTTTTTGTCAACCATTAAAATACCACCACTAAGACTAAACGTCAAATTGGTTAGTTTTATCAAAAAGGTTTCTTAGATTTTCACGCACTGCACTCCTTCAATAAAAATAAATAAAAAGGATGCGAAACGTCATAAATAAATAAATCGCTGCAAAAAAAGTTTCAACAGTACATTTAAAAAGCGATGTATTGTGATATGCAACCTGCCTAGATATTAGGCCTAGCTCGCACCACGTTCTTTTATCGCGTGATTTTTAAATCGCAGAAATGTAACCTATTAGTGCTTGCGTGCGCGCATTAGGGATAAAAAATCGCCTCGATTTTAAAATCTACATTTGTCACATTTTCCCGCGATTGTCACAGATATAATTTGCTGCATATTATGAAGTAATATGGCCTAGCGTGCACCTCGAGAATCGCAACCCGAGCAGTGTTGCCAAATTGTACCGCTTTCGCGCTTTGTCTCCCGCCTTTTTGACAATGGATCCGCGTTCCGGTTTTAAACTACGCGGTACTGCAGTTTTCGAATCTATTAGACTAGATCCGGGTTTTTGCTTTTCTCATCTGGCATCACTGAACCCGAGCCTCGAGGCGTTGTCAGACGGCATTCCGCTCTCCAAGCGAAAACATGTCAGTGCTTCTTAATAGCCAAAGATTTTTCCGATTCTAGTCTTAAGTTCATTGTGTTTGAATCTAAAGTAACCTTTGAGATATCTTCCTGCAGTGAAAGGATGAATCCAGTATTGCTAAGATCTTTTTTTCTTCCTCCTTCTCTGAAGGAGCACGGCGAGACAATCAACTTCTATGAAATCTATGTTGCAAATGAACAATTCAAAGATATTCAATAAAAGTCTTACGAAGATAGTTCGGCAAAATTAAATAAAAAAAAATGATTCCGACGAAGCAGCCTGTAAAGGCTACGTAACGTCAATAAATAAATAAATTTTCGTGCATTAATCCGTGAAAAACTAGTTTTGTTTAATGAGTGATGTGCAAATTCAAAGATTTTTTATTTCCAGTACGCGTAGGTACTAAATATTCTGCAATATTTTGCGCGCTAGCTCTTATACTTTTTTTTCTAAACGGCTTCGCAAGGCTTGTGCATTTAGCCAATGTCAAGTGTTAAAATGTTTACAAATACTATAGCACTCGTGGTCAAAGTAATAAATCAAGTCAAAGTAAATGGCAGTCAAGTCCATCTCCCTTTGCCTATGTTTCAGTAAAAGTGTGGGGATTTACTGGAACCTCCCCGTGGACTTCTTGAGGGAACGTCGAAAGACACTTTCCGTTATTTTGTTTCACTTGCCAACACTTGTGCATGTTCCCAAACACTTAGTGGTTAATAATCCACCATTATTATACACTAACATCCACCACAACACAATTTTTAACTAGAAAAACAACACTGCTAAAGTGACGCTTCCCGATCCCGCCAAAAAGTCCCTAAACTTCTTAGTTGGGTAATACTTTTTTTTGGTTTTATTCTTCCCCTACTTGAGAAAGGCAAAGACAAAGTCATGCAGCCATCGTGTTATTTTAGTATTAATCTTCCTTTTTTGCATGAGAATGTGGGTGTGGCGCATTCTAATGTTTCTTGGAGTGTTTGGCACAAAATGTAATCGAGTCAGCTTTCTCGACCAACTTCTGTGAGGTCTCAACACTAAAGTAAAGTTCTCACATCCACTTGACCAATATAGTGAATATTTGAAAGATAATTCTTCAGTTGCGATTGTAACACAAAATCACACCAATTTTATTCCACAATATCCACTATGAACGAATTTAAAGAATATTTCAAATATGACGCCAACCGCACTCGATGAAATCCCGCCAAAACACCCGATAATACTTTCTTTGGAAATGATTTCGTTAATTTATTGTCTATGGGAGTGTACGCTCAAACTTCATAGCATTTATCTACGTCCATGTTTTAGCTCTTGTTCTGAGATTGCAATATATTATACATGTCATTGATGTAAATAAGTGAAGATGTAACTTTAACAAAATATGTATATCAAATATTATTGTAAGTAACAAATTTTCGGTAACATATTAATTGTATAGAAGAGAACTTTAGAGAATTATGTTCATGTTGGATTTTTTTTTATTTTATACCGCAGAAAAAATAACCTTATTACAATTCTTTTAAAGACAAAAAAATATGATTTATCTATATGATAGTTTAGCTGACAAAATACCTTTGTATTGGCTGTCTTTTTCTTACGCCGAATGAGAGAGGGGGGTTAAAACCGTGTCGGTTCTGGTACGATTCTCTAAACTTAAAACTTATCGGCCTTTAACTTTCTAAAAAAAATATTTTTTTTCTAAATAAAAGTAGCTTAAGTTACTCCTTATTACATCAGCTACCTGCCAGTAAAAGTGGCGTCAAAATCGGTCCAGCCATTTCAGAGATTAGCCGGAACAAACAGACAGACAGCCAAAAAATGTAAAAAAAATTGGTGTATGTACCGTATATATATTCATATATATACATGTAGTAAAAAGCGTTTTTTTCAATATTACAAACAGACGCTCCAATTTTATTTATATGTATAGATTAGTCTCTCCATTTCAGATTTCAACCTTATCTCTCCTATTAGATTTTCAACCTTATCCCCACAGAACACAGAAAGATGTTAGAAGGGCTTTTTGAGCGGGGCAAGCGCGTCACAGTTATGTGTGAGTAGGATTACCATCCGTCCGGATTTGTCCGGACATGTCAGGACTTTGTCCATCTTTGTAATATGCCCGGATTTTTGTAATTAGATGGAATATGAGTAATAATACTACTTATTAAGTTATATCAAATAACTCAAATATTCTTAATTAAGTTCTCATTAATTTAAAACAAAATATAAATTATCTTTAAAAATCAACAACGAGACCTCGCGATGCGAGCGACTGCTACCACGCGTATAATAAATATCACTGTAACTAAGTAGGTGATGTTTGCATTTTGTGACTAAAATGTCCGGACTTTTTATCGAAATGTCCGGCTTATTGTCAGGACTTTTCAAATTCTCATAACTTGTCCAAAACTTGGTTCTGATTGGATCGTTGCTCGATTGTTTGATGTCGCGTCATTTAATTGGCTATTATCTATTAGCTGGAAGAGTAGTAATACTACATCGAATAATGAACTTTTTTAATGACAACCTATCTGATTTTGATTTGGACTTGTTTACAATATATTTTATTCAATATAAAAACGTCATTACTGATTGTTTACCAAACATTTAAAAATTGTATTTTTTAACTTTTAAATGAAACTATCGATTTGCAAATAGAATAGATATTACAAACTTATCATGTTTTATAATAATATAATGTCTGTGTTGCGATATATTTTTTGTGGATAACGGTGTTGGTTGTGTAATGACATCTATATATTGATTAGCGTTACTACATTACGTACAATATTGCGCAATTGTTTGTTATCCTAAATAAATAAAAATAAAAGTAGTGGGGACGAGCCGGCGACGTCGGATCCCGTAAAAACGGTCTACGAGCATCCTTCTTATCTCTTTCTGTGTTCTGTGCCATTGCCCCGTTGATAAAACGTAGACTATAGCATAGTTAGACTACGTTTGAAACTAATACTGTCTTCTCTATAGCAAAAATCTACTAAAGATATTGTATTACAACAACAGTCGATGGCTGTATGGGTTCCGTTCCCTTTGCCTCTACAAATTATACTAAAAAAAATATTTTGGAAAAAAATAATAATTAGGCATTTAGTTATTAATACTTTTTAATTGACTTTAAAAGCCAACACAAGTGACGTTGGTTAAAAAAACTTTAAAACAATGGCCGCCT